TCCCACAATTGTATACATTATTCTTTGGACTTAAAAGGGTCCAGGAGTAACACAGAACCACAATTTATGCCCCGCACATAAAACACAATCAATAAATATTTACTGTCTAATTTGTTGATATGGAATGCAGACACATATCTGGTTAATTCAGATTTCAATAATTTGGATTTTGCAATGATTCATCTTACAAACACTTTTAATGAATATCACAATTAAGTAGTCATAAATGGTCACGGAAAATTCAAAAATTTAAGAGAATAAACTTTTCAAGTAACTTAGTGGAATTTATTTATATTCAATTGATGCATATACTACAAACTAAGGAAATGTTTCATCTGAAGACATTTATAAGGCAATCCTGAGTTAGCCTAATTTTGAGTTCCTTGAATTTTTCTGTAACCATATTATTTCATTGAAATAAAACTAAATTATATATTAAAAGAGCTTTATTTAATACATCAGTAATTCAGACTGACCTCTCTTATTCCCTGAGTATTATTTTATAGACTATACACAATACATATATAAAGCACTGTAACCAGCAACGTCAAGACCTTTTCCATCGAAGTGCTTCAGAAAAACCCATTCTATGATGACTTCAACAACATCGCAAATCCACCACAAAGAACATTTAGAACATAAAGTGCATGGCTATGGCATGTTTACTTCTCAAAAGTAGTTATATGAATACAGTGTAACTTTGACAATTTTTCACCCTTAAGGTTATAGTATTTTATATACACAGCTAATACTGCCCAATTCAGTCTGTATATCTCAACACATTCAGCAGATGACTGCCATGTTTTTAAAAGGAGAGGTATATTTTCATCGCCCTCTACAAACAAGAAATAGTTTAAAGAAATATCAAAACAATGAGCAGTGCTAATAATGCATTTCATTAAAATTTTCCAAGATCTCAAAATTTCATTTTTAACATACAGTTCATTTTAAGGTAATCTTTTCTACTTCATAAATTAAAAGATAAAATTTCACATGGAATTCTTCCTATATCAACTAAGTCACTCTTTGTTTTCTACTCAAGGAAGAAGGGTCATGTCACTACCACCAGCCATCCATAAATACATTATTCAAGAACCTTATCACAGGCAAAACCATTGCTAGACAAGACATATGGTCAGTAGTAGCTCTGTCTAGCTATATGATCTTGTTAGGGTCATTTAAAAATCTTATTATCTCAGGGGTCAGCCCAGTGGCGCAGCGGTTAAGTTCGCATGTTCTGCTTCTTGGCGGCCTGGGGTTCACCAGTTCAAGTCCTGGGTGCAGACATGGCACCACTTGGCAAAAGCCATGCTGTGGTAGGCGTCCCATGTATAAAATAGAGGAAGATGGGCAGGGAATGTTAGCTCAGGGCCAGTCTCCCTCAACAAAAAGAGGAAGATTGGTAGTAGTTAGCTCAGGGCTGATCTTCCTCAAAAATAAAAAAATAAAAATAAATAAAAAATAAAAATCTTATCTCAGATTTCTATGTGTAAAATGAGATAGTGCTTACTCACAGAAGCATTTAGAAAACATCTAATTCATACTGTCAAGGGCATTATACATGTTCAAAAGCATTTCAAGCTTTTTCAAATTTTAACTTACAGGGTTTTCTAAGAATTTCTTAACTCATACTTGACAGGAGAGACAAGTACTTGTCTCCATTTTTCTCATGGTACAATGAATCATTTGAATATATCCCACATTAACACTCCAAAACTGGGGCATCATAGGTAACCTCACTCAAGAATGTTACTTCATATCCTAATGTTTTCAATAAAATGTGGACCTTCAGCTATGGCAAAAGTAATTAACAACCCTACAATAACTAGAATCTGAGAAAGCAGGGATTCCCCCCTAAATTTGTAACATAGTAAAAGCACTAAAACAAATCATGTGCATACACACACACACACACACACACACACACACACACTTTCATTTTTCCCCCATGCTACCACTGGATGCCCTGGACTTCAAAATTTGTAAAAGTAAATCAAGATATAGTCCTGTAATAAATTTTAATAATTTGTTCAATTATAAGTGTTAAATCACATTTAGAAACAGAGAAAGTAAGGCAGATATGTGAAGCTGATGATTGAACTAAGAGAAGTCATCACAAGACCCACTTAGTAACATTACATTCTAAACATAAATCTTTACAACGTATGTTTCCAGATTGATTTCCAAATAAATATACCTAGAAATCTAGTAATGTTTTAAGATCTTGGACACGCACAAGTTTAAAAAAATTGCCTTGGGGCAGTGAAAGTAGAAAAAACTAATTCTTAGGATGTCAAGTTTTTTCCTCAAAATCTATTTGAAGAGAGCAAAAAATGGAATGTATATCTATTTGCAATTTTTCATTTCAATCCAAATTACATTTTAAAGTCTAAATTGTGGCAAGAAGAACATTTCACAAAAACCTAGATATACATTACACACAAGTTGTTTTCTTACACACAAAAAACTATGCTCTATTTGAAACTGAAAACTTCAAGCAATTCTAAAAGTCGAATTTTGAATCACATTTTCCTTGCCAAAATAATAAATATAAGAAAAATGCAAATATAAATTTAACTCATTAAAATATTAAAATGAGGATTTCCAGGATTTTTTATCTGCTTCCTCACAAATTATCTTTTAATCTTCTGCAAATCTATCATTTATAATATCAATTTTACCAATTTAGTATTTTTAATTATAAAATTCATGAAAGAGTAAGTGGAATAACTGTAAAGAGGGTATTAGTGTGAAATGTATGATCTAACGATACCTATTCTTAACTTCAAACTCTTTTAGGAACATAACTAAATGTTTTAAAATTGTATTTTACACAGAGTATATACATGAACACTTGTTTGTGTCAGGAATAACTTCAGACAAATGCACTGGTCATCTCTTGCTACAGTGTGCATTGCACTCAAAGATACATTTTGAATTCTAAAGAACAGGCTATATAACTTGTACCTGACTTTTTTTGTGGGCCTCACAACTAAAATAATGCCATTACTTTGAACTTATAAAGTATATTTGGGCATTTTGAACTGGCATCAACCTTATTTACACCTACTTAAGGAGAAGACACAAAATAAAATTAGAGTCAAATTTTTACAGTCAAAGATGAATGTGATTTCTCTTGCATAAAGTAGCATTTTGGGAAGTTTTGGAATTTTAGCAAATATTTCCATTCAATAAATTTTACCCTTACGCATTATGTTTCTTGATCATCTATCACCTACAAGTTTTAGAAATTTAGAATCTCAAAAACTAATCTGAGGCCAGTCTGGTGGCATAGTGGTTAAGTTCACACACTCCACTTCAGCGGCCAGGGTTCACAGGTTCAGATCCTGGGCACAGACCTACACACAGCTCATCAAGCCATGCTGTGGTGGCGTCCCACATCCAAAACGGAGGAAAGACAATCTTCCTCACTAAAACAAAACAAAACAAATCTGGTCCCATTCACAACAGTGAAGGTAGTGATATTACATATGCCTGTCATGTTAAACGTCTATCAGATATAACACACTCCTGCTGAATTTATTATCCTGATTTTCTTCAGCTTCATAGGGAATCATACATAAAAATTTTAAAAGTTACCGCTAAAAAGTTATATATATGATCTTTGGAAATGGAAGACTAAAGGCAGAATCTAGCCTATACGTGAAGCAGTTAACACACCAGCTGGACCCTATTTCCCTAATGCAGGGTCATTCTTCTGTTATTTAAAGATGTGAAAAATGCTAAAAGGTGCCATCAATAGTGAGTCAAAAAACCCTACAGTGATTAAGATGCATTTCAGACTCAGCAAATAACACTTTGAACTGATTGTGTTGAAGCAAAAATAAGCGAAAAACATCTAATATTTTAAGTAGAAAGGCATCAAATTTCTCTGAAAAATTTACCTGAAATAACAAATACTAGAGAAGTCTTCAAAAGCAAATAGTATTGAGACAAAACTGAATGTGACTTGTAGAATCAACAAAAACTGTTTTGTGAAATGTCAAAATATTTTTTAAATAGCATTCTTCTTAATAAAACAATTTTCTTTTCCCAATTACAAAAGAAGTAAGTGCTTACTGTACAAAAGCTTTTAAAATACATTAATAAAGATGAAAAACCTAATCACATCGCTTTTAATATTTTAAAAGACAACCACTTTTACTATTAAACAAAGTTATGAATATTTTAAGTTACAGAGCAAAGCTAGCACTGGATAAAATTTTCATTTGTAAGAAACACTGAAAAGAGAATCCATGTTTTTCTTTTCTAGTCATTTTGTTTTCCTCGATGTCTACACATTTGATTATAGAGTGTTTCACTTTCTACCTCCTTCTTAATCTTAAAGTTTTGCTCAGGGAAAATATGTGTTCCAACACATCAGAATATAGCATCAACTCAGTAACATCAGCTCCTGTACACTGTGATGGTCCTCCCTGAACACAAGTGATGCTTTGCTCAGCATGTCAGACTAGCAAATTCTCCACATCTTAATCTTCTTTATCTGTTTATCACATATTTGTATCTTTTTCACATCTAATGATTAGCTTCCAGGGTGGGGAGAGACAAAGGGAAGTCTCTTAAGGTAACAACTTCATTTATTTCTAAACTCATATAATTAATGATGTATGTACAGCAAATCTGCTTATTAATCTTTGTTTCTTCTGGGTAACATTTTTACGACAAAATAACTTAAACTCCATTTTAGTAAATGAGGAAAACTAAACTGCAAAGACAAATGGCAAGACATTCCTGAACAATTCTTTCCTACTATTGCCAATCTGATGAAAGAGAAATGTTTGAGCATGTTTCTTATAAACTTTGCTATTTTGTTATATACTTTGTTACGTTTAAGCATAACTAAGTAAGGAGGTAGGTTAATCTCAGAATCATCCCTGTTTTATCCAAACTTCTGCTTGCTGCATATCTTTAATCTTAAATGATGTCTTCATGAATAATTATTCCTAGGAAATGAGCTTTCAAAAATTATGAAAGTCTTCTACATGTAAGAACATCTGAGCTTAAGCCAAAATCTGAGCGTAAACAGATTCGGGAAAAAATGCTCTTGTAGCATTTTGGCAAAAAAAAAAAAACCTCAACGGATTAATTCTGTTATAAAATACAATTTCCTAAATTGGAATTAGTGATCTTTAAATTGTGATGACAATAAAAATAACAGCAACAAAAATAATAACAGCAGCTACCACATTCCGAACACTTTCTATGTGCCATGAGCCACGCTGAGCACATACACTACATTACCTCATTTAGTCCTCGAATCCAGCCTCACAGGAAAGTACAAGTCTCTGGACTTTACTGATGAAAAAACTGAGGACTTGGAACACTCAGTATCTTACGTAGGGCCAAACAGCTTATGAGGGCCAGGATTTCAGTCCAGGTTTCACACACTAGTAGGTTATAAAGCCTTCTAACACTATGTAACTTTAGAAACAACTCCACAGATAACAGATCCTGTAGTAATAGACTACAGCATTATGGTTTGGCTGTCATTTATAACCAAATTGGATAATTACCACAGAATATAATAATGAGAAAAATGGCTATGTTTTCTATTCTTAAGACACATTAATCTTAAAAAGATAGAATAGTTTCAAAATAAGTATTATCTTACTATAACAACACATATTAAAATATGTCAACAGGAAATTAAGTGGCCTGCCCTAGAGTTGTACACGAAACATTACAATAAATGAAGAATCTAAACCTAGAACTAAGTAGAGGCTCCCCTTTCAGCCTATGATAAAGCTTTCCTTCTCCACTCTTCTCCTTCAAAAAAATTCCTTCCCAAAAGTAATTTACAGAGATTTCTAAAAGTTATTCAACGAAAACTTAACAAAAATGAACAAAAGTAACATCAAGGAAATGCCATGCCCCAGGGTTTCAGTTTGATTACAGACTGAACTGGCAAGTTTGGGCTTACCAGATTGCCGTTTTAACAGGAGATCTGTAAGATCAAGGAAAAAGATATCGCAAGATAAGGAAAGAACTAAAGCAAAAGATTTAGGTGAGAAAAAAGAAAACTCAGAGGAATTTTGTAGGGAAGAAAGCAGACAGAGGCCCAAACACCTGAAGGCTTTGGGGAGAGGCAGTAGTACAGCACAGTGGTTACGGGTACAGTCTTTGGCTCCAGCTCAACTGAACGTGCAGAACTTCTGCCCTTGACTAACTGAGGGACCTTGGATAAATCACTTTCCTTTAGTTTGTCATCTCTAGGATGGGAACAAGAAAGACATCTAACTCAAGGATTGTAATAAAGATTAAATGTTACATGCAAAACTTAATACAATGTCTGGCACATAACTGTGGTTATTATCAGGAGGAAAAGCCAGAAGAGGAAAATGCAATGAACACAGCCTCAGGCTTTCTGTACAGAGGGTCTACCGAGTCTTTTCTAAGTATGTTTACACACCAAACTAAAGGAATCAAAATCTGATTCTCAAATAATACATAGAACGTTGAAGCTTCTATTTATGACAATTGAAAAGCTAGCAATGTCATGCTTCCTTTGTTTTCCTTGAACTGGTCTGAACTTTGAAAGATGTATTTCAACTTATCCAAGATGTCACTGGCAAACAAGGGACAAGAATTAATATAAACAACCCAAACCACAGAAATGTGAAACAATTAAATTTTGATTCCCCCCAAAAAAACTCTTGTTCTAAGCAAGCATTTTCATTAAACTGAAGCAAAGTCTGATTTTGATATATAGAATATTATTTTATTCTTTATTTTAAACCTTTCTTACATGTTTAAAAATATACATGGATTTGGAACAACCTCAATAAAATGATGACCTAAAGGACCTCTGAAGTCAAACCACCAGTGTGCAAACATGGTTGGCTTCCAATTTGAAGAGTCATAGGCACATTTCATTAAATGCATTTCATAAAACAGAGAAATCAAAAGTGCTAAGGAGAAAAATACTAATTTCATATAAATTTTAAAATATCTATCAGGCACGAAACTTATGGTATAAAAGTAAGATTTAGATGTTTTATCACTCACACCTGCTTCACTACTAATTCCTCAAATGCCATTTTGCTACATTTAAACCCCTGACAATTTATTACACAATTCCATACAGCACACTAAAAAACAGGTTTAATCTCTGAATATGAAAACAGATCATCACAAAAGAAAATACTGATAGCTCTTACCTGTATTTCATAATAAGTATATTGTATTCTCAGCAGCACTAAGAATGCAGCTTGGTCTAATATAAATATCTAAATAACAGCTACACAAAAAGTATTTTTCTCTTAAAAGAAGTTTTTGTGTTTTTTTTTCCGGTGTTGATGCCTTAAGCAACATTGATCTATATATTGTGCTAAGAAAACATTAGGCACAGATGACATAATATAATTTACATTTTCTTTGTTGTAAAAAATACGGTATGTGCAAATGCATATCACACAAATGATTAGTGGACACAACAGTAAGCTTTGTAGACCCAACACAAAAAAGTTAATATTTCACTCTAAAAAAAAATGGATGCACCAAGTAGCTTTAAGACACATATCTTACTTCTGGGTGAGTACTCGGCATATGCCTTAGAACTATTTGTGGATTTTCTAAAAGAAAAACAAAGCTTCACTATAGCAAAAAGATACCACTTTGGACACATGAACTAATTTAAAAGAAACCAGATAAAAATGTTTCCCAAAGCATTAAAAACACTTAACACAATATCTTAAATAGGCTATAGATTGCTTTGTTAGAAGGAATAAATTATTTAATATCACAATTGCTTTATTTAGTAGATTCTTCTTCATTAGCTAAGACACTTCTGGATTAAGGTACCAAAGGATACAGATCAAGAAAAATGGAAAGGAAAAAAATAGCACGCTGTTAAGAAGAAGGGGAAGCAAGCATAATTTTACTCAGAAGAAACAAAAGTACTCTTTCTTTTTGTCCATAGCAGAAAATTTGTGCTGCAGATGTTATAAAAACACAAGAAATAGGGTTGTGTGGCAGATAACAAAATACAATGCTTACTATGCATCCTCCATGGAGAGACCACTTAGAGATCATAGATTAGTGTGCTTAAAAGTACACTTTGACACAAAAGATTATACTTTGCCACATATATAATATGCAGCATTTTTCTATGAAGGGCAATTTATGCAAGTAATTTCTACAAACACAAGACACAGAGAGTGAGCGAGACAGACAGACAGACAGAATGAGAGCCAGGGATAGAGGAGAGAGTTCAGTCAGACAAGACAGAGACGCCGAGGGGCTTTGCCCAGGTCCTGTGGAAGATCTCAGATAGATACTTTTTTCATTCTCAGTGCTTAATTTTTCCTATTAGTGCACATTTATACTCACACACTATAATTATCTCATGAGATTGCCCTCCATACATCCTTTTCTTAAGCTTTTTTTACATGTAAAAAGGAAAAAAAAAAAAAGAAACCTTTAGTCCCTTCACCTCATAGTAAACTATTCAAGTAAATATTTCTCTAGTGGCAAATTTCCAAATGAAACAAGAGTACAATCCAAAACCACTGTCAGATTACATTTGATTTACTGTGTAGTTCTCTTCAAATGGAGCAGGAATTCGCCCGTTTCCTAGGTTTGGGGTCTCGTGCTTCCTGATCCTTCACACACACACAAGATGTGCACATTGTCTTGGACAGTCTTCGGAGGCCTAGCTGGAAAACACTGTTGGAAAGGCTGTATATTACACAGTTACAAAAACTATTACTTATAGCAAGCCAGGTTGTCAGGAATGATAGTGTTGGATTGTCCAAGACCCGGGAGCTTTCAAGAAGAAAGTAAATGATATAGGGGAGCCACAGCATGTAAAACACACTGGTTATCCGAAACAAAACCATGGCGTAGCGACGGTCAGGGCTGTGCCCAGTCTCTCCAGAAGCATCCACCTCATGGCTAGGGAATCGGGCCCTCCGATCATTTATTTCTTTGGTGTGCTGCCGGCAAATTTTGAAAATGTGGAAGTAAGTGAAGCAGATAACAAAGGCAGCAGGAGCATATAGTAAACAAACAATAAAGCCAGTAAAATAGGCACTGGTGAGCCAAGAGGTGGCACACCATTCAAAAATGTCACCGTGGTAACCAGGTTTCCCCCATCCAAAAAAGGAAGGCAAGAAAATTAGGCAAGAGTAGATCCAGATTAAAATAATGCAAATTCTCAGGCGACAAGGGGTGACCAGTTGATTGTAGGAAAGAGGCTTCGTTATTGCAAGATAGCGATCCACACTAATGCAAGCAAGACATGCCATAGAAACACTTTTCAGAACTGAGATGATATATCCAAAAACCTGGCAAGTCAATGACTCGTGGATACCTGTGGAGTAGTGGAGAAGTGAGAGAGTAGGAACCAAGCAGCTAACTCCAACGAAAAGATCAGCATATGCCATTGTCTGAATGAAATAGCTGGTAGTATAATGGTGTAAGAGTGGAGCACAGTGAAAGACAAAGATGACCGTTAAATTGCCAGCAATGATTAGAAATGTCAGTAAGACAATAACAACTGTCTCAAAGATGCAGACATCCACCGCACTGTAGTGGCCAAATCCAAGTGGGCAGGAGTGACGTTCGGATGCATTCACAATGCCACTGCTCACGTTCAGGATCTTCCATTCAATCCACCTGGATTCATTCATGGCTTGGAATTAAGGAAACCTGCAGCCTTGGCTACAGCAAGCAGGTGCTCTGCCCAGCATCTGTTAAACTCTGTACATGAGTGTCGCAGAATCAGCTTCAGTAGACAGTAGCAGTGCTTCTGTCACAGCTGAGCATCCCAGAGAGTGTTCAAGTCTCTTCATCAGCTTCAGTGCAGTAGTGACACACCTCAGCTTTGGTGGGGAAGGGAGGGGGATAAGCTAGAAAGGAGGTGAAAAAAGGTCACTAATTAGCTTCCTCCGGTGCTCTCAAACAACTTTTTGCAGACACAAGGCACTTCTAGAGAAAATGGATTTCTGATTACCTGTACTATGAAAAATTAAATTTGTAAAAAGAAAAAAAAATCAATTGCCAAGGAAAGAAAAGCTTTTGTGGACTGTTTGTTCTCCTCAGAAAGGTAGTTTCTTGGGGATCAACTAGAAAGAATAAGAAAAGCTTCCTGTTTCATCTATCCTGAGAAGTGGATTCATATTTTAAAACTTAAATAATTAAGATCTCAGATTTTTTCAGAAAGCTAAGAAAAAGTCCATTGTGGGAAAGAGTGTCTTTGGATTCAGTTTAGGGTTTCATGCTGGTGGGAAAACTTTATGATCCATTTCTCTAGAAAGCTAAGAAACTCCCCACCCCAACAAGGTTAATTCCAAAAGACATCTCTATTTGGGCACGAAAGACCAGAACAGAGGTAAGAGACTCCAAATTGCCCTATAACTGTCATGGGAAAAAAAAAGCATATTTCCCATAGAGAAGATAATAAGCAATGGGTTAACACCTGACAAAATATGATAAACTTCTGAAGTTTTAATTCTGCATGCATTTTTTAAGCATTCAGATGAAAACAGTTTTAGTCCACTACAGTGGCTGATGTTACCACCAGCGATGTAATTTATACTTCTTCCTTTTCAAAAGGAAATTAAATCATCTTTGCTATTAATTTTGGCATCAATAACTGAAAATAACTTTCATTAACTGATATGCCACCTTCCTTATAATGGAGCATGATCATAAAATATATAGCTCAAAGTTATTTCTCACCTTTGCAACCACACCTATATCTCACATATGTATCTTAATATATATGAAATCTAGACAATAATAGAAACTTTCCTATATACTGAGCTTTTGTGACTAGAAATGCTATCATTATTTATTACTTAGATATTTCTAGTAGGCTTCATAGTCTATGCTTCTGTATCTTTTCTATTTTCATTAGAAGATTAACACATTAAATCATTACTTCGACTAAATCTTCTGAAAGTGGAAAATTACCTTGTCTGTTATATTTGCAGTTATATAGCAGCCATATGTTAAGAAAATGCCTCTTCTATTTCTGTATTCTATTTTGAGCAAGTACTCAATTAATACAGGGGCCATTAGATAGATTATAAGATGGTCTTGTTTTAAAATACCTCTAAAGCATCAGGGTGAGTTTAAATTCTAGAGTTTGAAACACTGAGAGGCTGGCAGAATAGAATCCATCCAAAAGGCTTCCAAGGTCATTCTGATATCAGGTTAACATTTGTCAAAAGTCTTTTTTAAAGTATAGGCATTTCAGAGAGTCTCTTGCCAGTCTTTGTTGTCATATCTTTTGAAGCAATACCATGCATTAGAAATAAAAACATTTCCTTCAGGAACAATGCAGCAGCTTAATAAAAAGCATTCTTCCAAAAGTTATTTTCTCGTGCACCACCAAGTCATTCAGAGAAGTCCTCCTTCTTTTATAATAGCCACAGGATAGTCCTCCTTGTACATTCCTAGTTTCACTTATCACAAAATAGTTCTCTTGTTACAGGAATAAGGCAATGCTTCTCACCTACATTCACTCTTATCAGCTGCTAGGCTGGGCTGCTTGATTCAGAAGTCCGATTTACTGTGATGCAGTTACCAGGATGCTGTCGGTATATTCTTCACAGTCTCTCAGTATCATTGCCTCCACCTGAGCCGGAGCCCTGCTCCTCCTCCTCATCCTGAGCTGATGCAGAAGAACTCACCATCAGAAAGGTGACTCGGTCCTCCTGCCCCAATCAACAGCACAGCCAATGGCTACTGCAGCTGAAACTGTCACTAGGTAACAGTTGCCAGGCACATGCAGGCTTATAGACTTACTCGGCAAGCTCCGATCAAGATTGACAAAAGAAGACAATAGAACTGACCGATCCTTATGACAGATTAATGGCATGTATGAATTTCCAACGGTATTTTCCTTATAGCATTTGTAAATATTATTTCTTATGGACAGGACAGGAAAACAAAAAAACTGGGATACACCTTTAAAACCTATAGAGAAACTACCACAAGGTACTATGACACTAAAAAGTCAGCAGTAATCTAATGCTCATTGGCAGAAAAAACTTATTAATTATTAAAAATCAGCTAAGTCTTCAGGAACTCAAGTGATATAGCTATGATTTTTACTCTCTAAAATATAATTATATTTTGATTAATAGAAGTTGTCACTTAATAATCTCTCTAATCCCTGCCAAACCCACACTAAACATCCGAATTTGATGTATTTAATAGTATAAACAAAGCATTGAAACTAATAGCTCTACACTAAAATCTATTTGGAGAACTATTTAAGGTCAGATATGACCTAAGAAGAGTAGGTATTAGAAATAAATAGAATGACTGCTTAGTTCGCTTTTTATCCTAATACGAAAAAGAGTCAAAGAGCCAAAGAACTTTGTCACACAGTACTTAAACTACCCAAACCCAAGTTAGAAGAATGCAAATTAAGCTTATTTGATGGAGGTTGAAAATATTTCCATTTATTTTGACTTACTACGGACAAACATTCACTATTTTAAGCCTACTTCGTATGGGGTCAGCACTTTTCTTAAAAGTGACTTAGAACTAATTTACAAAGTATTTCAGAATTAAATCAGAAAATTAAGATGAAAATGAAAGATAACTAACATCTGTTGAGCACGTTCTATGTGCAAGCATTATGTCATGTGCTTTATATATTTTCTCTCTATAAAAATCTTAAATCTCTGTTAAGTAGGTACCCATAAGTATCATCTTCCAAAGGAAGAAAGTGGTACTAGAGAAGGTAAGTATAACTTGACTTCTTTTACAGAGTTGTGAAAACTGTCATTCTTAACACCATGTTAAGGAACCCCTCCCTCCTTCCCTCTCCTTTCCACTGATGGTTGCCAGTCAGGAAATATCTAAAAAGAATTATTTTGGATTTCAAAAAATGATTTCTAAAGAATAGAAAATGCTATTCTTTCCTCCCTGTTGAACTGCCTTTCAGGAAGCCCATATTATTGTTGAAATCTTCAGGGTGAAATACAGAATGGAAGCACACTTCTCATTACCAGAAAAATTTATAAAACAAGGTAGAACAATAATCTTAGTATTTAAATTTAACACAAAAAGGTTAGAAAGTCCTACTTTACAGAGATGCAATTTGACTTTTAGGGATATCTAAAAGCATTAAAATCAAACAAGATTGTCTTTAACTAACATTCGCTTTTATAATAATAATAAATATTCAAAATAAAAATTACATTTGATAAATATTCGGGTCCCACATTCCATATAAAAAAGACTTAAATACTAAGCTTTACTACAAAACCATTGAAAAGTGAAATATCATCAATTACTAAAGCTAGTTCAAGTCACAAAATTCTAAACAAATCATTTTAAAAGTATAGACTTCACATATTTTTAAAAGTTTTGAATAGTACTATTTCCAAAATCAGAGAAATGGGAAAAAATCTCATTTAGAGGAATTCAAATACAAGATCACCTTAGTTTGACACATTTATTTCCAAAAAATAATTTCTGGCAGAGAGTTGGGTCTAAGAATACTGAAAATAATCCATAACTGTACATGCTTCCAAAGGTATATCATAATATGAGAGGCAGAGAAGTAGTGCCTTTGACCCACTAAGCTTCCTTCTTTCAAAACTTCCACTAACTTCCTTAAAAAACCTTTAGTAGTTCTAACAAAATAATTTTCTTCTTTATACAGACTGAATCTTTCTAATAGTGCCTCACTTTTCTTCTTTTCCATCCTTTTTTCTGATCTGATTATAATAGGAACTAATTTACAATGTGAAGTTCTAATAACAAAATAGCATTGATATCATATATTTACATAGCTCATTACATAAAGCATTCTCTGTTTTTTATATTAGGCATAATTCTCATTTTAGGGGTCATTAGGTGTTTTATTATTGTCATTCTTATTACAGTTATTATCAACCACCTCCCTCTCCTTTCAACTGATGAATGCTGGTTGGAGAATATCTAAGAGGAATTATTTGGGATTGTTCAGAATTACTTCTAACAGCTAAAACTGTATAATTTTATGAGATGATACATCACATGTGTTTGCTTTTTCATTTATACCTTAAATACATTTTATATATTCCTTTATATGTATCAATATTTCATTATTAAACATCTAAGCAATTCAAGCAACTACTCAATAGGACCTAAACAGCAAAGCAAAGGAAGGACATTAGCCATCAATAGTAAACAGGATAAAGAGTAGGCATTAAGTATCAAGAACTACACAACCAATATAACATCGTAAAAAGTAAAAACAAAAACAAAAACAAAAAACAAAGGATAAAGTAAACAGTTTTTTAAAACATATATTTTTAAAGATATGAAAAGGTGCATGCATTGAGAATTTATCTATTTCTTCAACTACTTTTCCCATCTGTTAACCTTTCTCCATCTCTACTGTTATACCCTAAACAAGCTAGTATCATCTTGTGTGTGGACTTCTGCAGCAGCGTCCAATCTGGTCTTCCTGAGTTGTCTGTGACCTCTCTTCAATCCATTATGCACAAAACAGACAGAATATTCTTTCCAAAATGCAAACCAGATGATATCAATCCCTTGTTTAAAACACTTAGTGGTATCACACTGCCCTTAGGATAAAGTCCTAACAGGTCCTATTAAAATCCGCTCTCCATATATCTATCCAACCTGACATCTCTTCTATATTGTTTAGGATTAGCTAAACTGGCTCTACCTCCCCGCACTCCACCCATCCCCAGTCACACGTATATCTGCTATGTTCCCTACTGCCTCAGGATATTTGTACCCGTTGCTTACTATGCCATGACATTTCTTTTACTTACCTCAGATGCAATCTACAGGTTTCAGTTCAAATACCACTTACTCAGGGAAATCGTCCTTGAATTCCCAGATTAGACTAGATTCCACACTTATCATAGTTTATAATGATCTATTTCATTAACTTTTGTCTCCATAACTAGATTGAAAGCCCCATAAAGGGATCTTAGGATACTGAAAGAAATAACTATAAAAGAAAAATTTAATAAATTATACTTCAATTCAAAATTCTGCTTTTCAAAAGGTACCATTAAGAAAATCAGTAAGTGAAAAGACTGGGAGAAAATATTAGCAAAACATATATCTAACAAAGGATTTGTATCCAAAATATATAAACTAACTCCTACAATTTGTTAACAGAAATACAAATAACCCAATTAAAAAGTGGGAAAATACTGTCATAGACACTTCACAAAGGAAGATACGCAAATAGCTGTCAAGAAAATGAAAAAGAACTCAGCATCAATAGCCGTTAAGAAAAGGCAAAGTGAAATCACAATGAGATATCACTATATTTCCACTAGAATGACTCAAATTCAAATACTGACAAATACTAAACGTTGGCAAGGATGCAGAACAATCGAAACTCTCATAAATTGATAGTAGTAATGTAAAATGTCCCGACTTTAAAAACTTCTAAACAGTTTGGGAGTTTCTTATAACATTAAATAAATCAACCCTAAGACTCATCAATTTCAACCAATAGAAAACGAAAATATCTATCCACACAGACTTGTATACAAATGTACATAGCAGCTTTATTTTTAATAGCCAAAAACTGGAAACAACTGATATATCCGTCAACAGAGGAATGGATAAACAAATTGTGATATGTCCATACTGGCAGAGACAAAACCAATTTTTGATGAAAGAAATCAGAACATAGTTGCCTCAGGGGTGTGTGGGTGTGTGTGGGTGTGTGTCTGGTGGCATAAGGTAAGGAAATTTTTTCAGGGATGACAGAAACATTCTATATCTTGATAGCTGTGGGTTATATGCACGCATACATGTCAAAACATGGAAACTCTTTCAGGGATGATGGAAACATTCTGTATCTTGATAGCTGTGGGTTACATGCATGCATACATGTCAAAACTCATCAAAATGTAATATTTAAGATCTGGGCGTGTCATCTATTTGTAAGTTATAGCTGAAGAGAATGACAAAGCTATGATTGCACTGCATGTTTCAAGTGCTCCATTTCTGTGTAAAGCCATCAAATAACAGCCCTAAATTACTCGAGCGAATTTTAAACTATTGCCAGGAAATCATATATACTGACGTTTAAAAAGAAAACTACCAGACTTCTCCAAAGCAATGTTCCATCAAGAATGAGAGCTACTGAAATGTCTAAAAAAAAAGATATCACTGGACAGAACAAGTACATGTAGCCTGGGCCTACTTTCACACTCTCTCAAACAGTATACCTGACTCGTGGCTCAGTATTCGTACTTACAGACACAACAGCCCAGATGCAAGTGAGACACTGTGTGAGAAAAGACTTCTCTTATTAAATGCCAGTTACATAACACTCTGAGACTGCCCCAGCTACCTGGCATCTAAGACAACTGGCCGAGAATGCAAAATCTTTGAGAGAGTCCATTATCTGCAGTCAATCACAAAGGAAAATGAAGAAAGAAAAATACTAATTTACATATATGTTTAACTCTTAGTGGAGGAAACCCTCAAACATAAAATATATAATTAAAATCAAATTAATTGGTCAAAAATAGTATGCAGAGTAATAAAATAGAACCATGCACAGTATGATCCTTCTTCCCATTTTCCCCACATTATGATACTACCTTTAGTGAACATTTAATATGTCTGAAGACTAGGAAGACTATAACTTAGAGAGTGTAGGCTTTACAATGAACCAGATTCGGGTTGGCACACTGGCTGCAGTGTTCATTAACTATGAGGCCTTGGGTATTTTAGTCTCTCCATGTGTCTCAGCTTTCATCTGTACAATGGAGATAATAATATCCATCTTTTAAAATTGGTTATGAAAATCAGAAATTAAAAATAAACCATGAAAAGCACATAGCAGTTGTTCATTCAAAGTTCACTGAGAGTAAGGTAAATACACTCCTTACTATCAACAGGCTTTTTGTTTACTCATTTCTCTTTAAAAAACTACACCCACAAGTAACGTGTTGAGACTAGAAAATTAATAACAATACTTTCACTTTTCTGTTGAATTGCCATCTCTCTCAACATTCCTTTTAAAAAGTACATTCTTGGGCCGGCCCAGTGGTGAAGCGGTTAAGTTTGCACGTTCTGCTTCTCTGGGGCCCAGGGTTCACCGGTTTGGATCCTGGGTGCGGCCATGGCACCACTTGGCAAAAAGCCATGCTGTGGCAGGCGTCCTGTATATAAAAAGTAGAGGAAGATGGGCATAGATGTTAGCTCAGGGCCAGTCTTCCTCAGCAAAAAGAGGAGGACTGGCAGTAGTTAGCTCAGGGCTAATCTTCCTCACAAAAAAAAACAAAGTACATTCTTAAAACAAATATATTATCTGAACCTGACCATGCACCTTAGGAAATTTACATGATTAGCAACACAGAAATATAAAAATTACCTTTTTTTAGACTACTAGTCTATAAAAATGTCAGTTACATGGATCCTGCAATTCCCTGATAACTGAGGGTTTCTCTTTTTAATTTCTTAAAATTTTGTTTTACCCTATCAAATTTTAAATGTAAATCTTTATAAGATGTACCATCCACTCTTCTGCCTTCTTAAACTAAGAATTCTGAGCATAATTTAACGTCTGCCTGACAGTCTTGGATCATCACTGTTAACGTCAAATTAGAACACTGTTTTACAATATAATCATACATTTGTAGCTGCTGGACTCAATATACATGTATATACAGATATGTATATCAAGAGAGACTTGTTTAATTTCCACAAATAACTAGGCACCTAGAAAAGAATATACAGCTCCCTATATTCTGACTCTATTTGCATAGCAAATAGAGCAGTAGTCCTCTTTCCTCTTCTAATTTGCTATCTTTAATTTTCTAGAGGCTTAAATATCAAAAACCATGCTTTCAAGAATTTTTTCTTAAAGAGTAAATAGAAGTATTGCTCTATGATTAAAGTGCTCAGGCTTGAGCTGTCAGTTATTTCTAGGTAAGTGAGGTTGTAACCGTTTTAGTATGGCAATAGACATGATAAATACACTTAAAAATAACACAGGAGAAAAGGAAATTCCAAGCTTTCTTACATCTTCCATGTAAGAGCTATCCATCAATCATGTTCTTCTCTTACTTTATGGAACAACAAATCTGGAAATTAAATTGTTTAATAACATTTTTACATCAGTGAAATCCCATTAGATATTGCCTCACAGAAAGGATTCGATACAGCCACCTACCTTTAGTTTTTGTACAGTAAAAACGTAGAGGGAAATGGTGAACCTTAAAACATCTCCTGTAAAATTCTGCTAAAATTACATGAAAACAGAGCAGCACAATTACATTTTAAATAATGGGTTCACGTTATAGAAACGAAATGTTGATTCAAATTCATTTTTAATTGAAAGAGATTTTTCCCTTATAAAAGAAAATTGCTATTTTTTAAGATAACTTATTGTTATGGCAACTGAAGTGCTAAAAATAATAAAGAAATAGCAAAGTTGTTATAGCAACTGGAATTTTAAAAAGCCATGAAATGTAAAATAATCAAACCTTTCCTTGGCTTGAAATGCAACATCTATGACTCAGTTTTCAAAAGAAAACTTGAAATACTCATGCTTTTGTCTTCACAAGTTGTCTCTGGAGACCAAATTAAAAAACGAAAAACAGAAACTTCAGCATAACAGTTGCAGTCTTTTTTATACTTCTTATATCCCTCATCATTCTATACATATTCAACAACGCGGCTTTGATAACCATACAAGTTACCAAACTTCATGAATAGCAGGAAACGTTGATTACTCAATAAATGCAGGTTGAATTGAACTCAACTATTCAGAGTTTGTGCAAAATCTGTATTTTCTGGTCTTCTAAAACTTGTTTCTTATCTCCAATCTTCACTGCTCTGCTCTAGAATATACTAAAGGTGGAAAAAATCTACTCACTGCCAAAGTGCTTTTGCCCAGAATCACCCAATTAAAGTTCAATTAAATTAAAATTTTACTGAAAGCCTATTGCATGCTAAGTATTGCATGAAGTTCTGGGACCTTTTCTCACAGAGGTCACAGTCTAGTAAAGAACAAACTAAATAGGTCACTGTCACTGGCATGCAATGCGCAATGAGGGATCTTATGAGATTATCAGGAGAAAATGCATGAAGGTCCTATAAGAAGTGCTAAGGTCTTTGAAGGATTTAAACCAGGAAGTAACATAAATTGACTGTTTTCCCAGAGATAGGCAGATTAAAATATTAAAATTTTGGGTTTACATGCTTTGCATTAGAAAATCAAGATAAGTCTTTCCTTTCATAGTTTCATTTGTTCCTTTCTCATAACTAATGACCAAGACTCGGGTGACGAATGTAGTAACGTATGGTGCCAACATAGCACATTTCTCCAGCATTTATGGACTGAAGAGAATTGGCTGGGAATGGACCCCTACGTATGTTTGTCCATATCCTTCTGCTTTATTTGTACTCTTTATCCATCTCCCTTTCAGTATTTTTTCCCCTAAAACCATTGGCTTATTTTTAAACTAGCAGTGGTTATCTTGTAAGCTAATAAAAACGACTTGAGAAGCTCAGACTGAACTCAGCGGGAAAGAGGGCCAGTATTTCCCCTGGACCTAGAAAGGGAGAGTTGCAGCAGATGTCGGTTAGTAAAGCCTCCTGTTATATAAACTATAGAGTCTGATAACTCTGTAGGAAGAAAATGCTTACAAAAACACAAACTCTTCCCTTACCTACCTAACCCAGTAAAGAAGATAACTAGTGATGACCACTACTGTTTTTATCCTGAGCTCAATACAATTCTGTTGCCTTTTATTAAAATGAATCTGTTATTATCCTTTACATAAATGATTTGCAATGCCTTGCTTTATTCTTAATCCACGTTTATTAGTATCATCCAACAAAATCTTATTTTTCCTCATTTTTACAAAAAAGAATGCAAGCTCAAAAACATCAGAAAAAGAACCTAATTTAATTTCACATAGTTGTATTAAGTGCTTAGACTGCATCCACAAAATAAAAGTAACTTATCCAATAGTTAATTTGATCATTACATTTAACAATGTAGTAATTTATATCCATGTCGTACCTGTATGATTAATTTTATAACATGTGTTGGATTTCTACTTGTTTATGCCACACATATACAGTGTCTATATATATGTATATATCATACATTTTATAACACTT